CCATTCCATACAATAACAACATTTATAAACAAATTTTGGGAATGCCAATGGGTAGTACGGTACCACCGATCCTTGAACAGTATGTGATGGATGATCTTGTGCATGCACGAATGTTTTACAAAAATCAATTTTGAAATACCTTTTTTGAAAAAATACGTTGTTGGTATTGTGGTACCCTCAGATAGGGTAAAACAGTTACTTCAAGTTTTCAATAGCTATAAGTTACTCAACAGAAGAGATGACAACTCACTTATAACATTTTGGTATGGGAAACCTGGATCATCATGTAGATTTTTACATTATGAGTCTTTTCACACAACAAAAAATCAATTTCATTCTGGGTATGAGAACTAGAGTAATAACTACAAGTCATCACTCGCTTAAAAACCTTAATTTACAACAATTGTACAATTTATTTATTAAATGTGGTTATTCACCTCCTTTTCTAAAGTCTTTTATTCTCGAGATCACAGTTATTTTTTAGTACCACATTTAGGTGCAGTTTCTGCCAGATTAAAAAAATGTGTGTCTGGACTTGGTGGTGTCAAGTCGGCTTTTAAAAATCACTTAACTGTAAATAATCTTTTTACTAAATTAAAAGATAAGGATTTCCTATTGCCGCAATCCAGTGTAGTTTATTGCATCCCATGTATGGATTGTGAATTGAAATACATAGGTCAAACAAAACAAAATTTAAAAGATAATACTTACGGCACATAAAAATGACAGTATTTCAATAACAGGGACCGTCTTTCAGGGGACACCCTTTATACTGGTATGCAACCTAGTTTTTGGTTAATTTTAATAATAATTGAACAATGCAATGCTTTAAAAATTTTTGGTAGAGTATCCCCGTTTTCCACATAAGTAGATAGTAAAGGAACAAAAACGTTAATATTTTTTCACTTTTTTCCTCCTTATCTGATATCCGTATTTAAAAGACAGGCGTGTTCATATTGTTTGACTTCGGCTCTAGTCTTCCATAGTTAAGAATTTTAAAATTTTCATAATTGTACAATTTATTTTTTTAAACTGTTAGCTGTGTCGTTTTTATTTATTTGACATAATAACCTATGTCCGCGGTAGGTGGACCTATATTTGTTAACTTCATATGCAATTCTCGAATATTAAGTGATTTTTTAATTGACTAATTTATAAGAAAAATTTTAACTGGTATCCTATTGTATTTTTTTTCCTGCTAAAGAAACAAAATATAGTTTCGAAAGCTTGAAAATTTAAGTGTGTAACTTTTTTATCCTCGGCTGCATCTTCGTCTAAAAAAGAAATTTGGTTATACAGGGTGATTTTTAAGTTGACTTTCCTTTTAACACTGTATAGAATGCAAGAAAATAAGAAAATTTTTCAAATAAAATTATGTCCGAAAATGCTTTGTTTCCGAGATACAGGGTGTTAAAGTTTTAAGGAAAAAATGCCTTTTTTATCATAACTTTCCTACCACTCCAGATATTTCCACAAAATTTGGTACACTTCTTTTGACCATTAAATTACATTTTTTGATGTAAAAGTTTTCAAAAAATTTCTACCAGTGGCGTTCGAACAGGATTTGTATTGAATTGTTTTAAAGAAAAAAAAAAGTACGCCACTGCTTTTTCTTAAAATCAATATTATATTTGTAATACTGATTTACTTTGGAGTTAATTTGGTCTCTTGATATTTGTTCATACGACGAACGGTTTTCGTTTAAAGAAATAAAAAGCCATTTTGATGCAAGGCAAAATCGCTAAAATCTGATATGGAGTTTTGTATGTAAAATTCGTTTTTGACTAATTTGTATTAAAGTAAGGTCAATTACTTACATTGCTAAATTCAAATGTAATGAAAAAAATGTATCAGTAGGTATTATTTTCAATAAAAGAAGCAACATTTTCAAATCGCTTGATTTAAGTACCTGAAAAAAAAGGATCCAAAAACTGAACCACCTGCAAAAAATTATCGGTTAAAAGTATGTTCATGTTTAGGTTTTTATGTCAAGCACTGGGTTGTCAATTTCTTGTCGATCACTTGTGTCATACCTTTCCGACGTGATTTTATTAGTTTGCGACTATTTCGATTGTGAAAATGGCTCATACTTATGAGAATAATGAACTGGTGGATATGCTGCTAAGTTACGGGGAGTGTCATCACAATGCGGCTGCAGTTTCGCGGCTATACGCGGAGCGCTTTCCCTTAAGAGTCCATCCCACACCCCGTACTATTACCAATGTTGTTCGGAGGGCAAGAGAAACAGGTGCTTTAAGGGAACATCGTGGGGGACATGCAGGAAGACCGAGACAACCTGACAATGTGCAGAAAGAACAACAAATTTTAAATATTATCGATGAAGACTCATCAAGAAGTACTCGAGATATTGCAGATGAGGTCGAATTAAGTCAATCAAAAGTATGGAAAACACTGCGGGAAAATCAGCTATTTCCGTTACATGTTCAACGTGTACAAGCGCTACTACCTGAAGACCATTCCCGCAGAGTCCAGTTCTGTGAATGGCTCCTACAGAACCAAGCAGCTGATCAAAATTTTTCTAGAAGAATTGTTTCTGTGGACGAGGCAATATTTACTCGAAATGGAATCAATAATTTCCGAAATACTCATGTATGGGCTATTGATAATCCCCATGATATTAAGAGGACAAAATTTCAACACAGATTTTCTGTAAATGTATGGGCAGACATTGTGAATGGAATACTCATTGGGACCCACATCTTACCTGACCGTTTAACGGGCGAAGAATATCTAAACTTTTTGCAAAATCATCTGCCTAATCTCTTAAAAGAAGTACCAATTAATATCAGGCAAAACATGTGGCTTTTGCAAGATGGGGCTCCTCCTCATTTTAAAAGGGATATGAGGGAATTCTTAGATAATACTTTTCCGAATAGATGGATTGGTAGAAATTGAACAGTTGCGCGGCCACCTCGATCCCCAGACCTCACTCCATGTGATTTCTTTTTATGGGGTTACATGAAGAGTTTAGTTTTTAAAACGCCTGTAAACACACGGGAGGAAATGATTGTTCGCATAGAACAGGCTGCAGCATCAATAAGAGGGAAACCAATTTCGTTGCTACGCGCCGTCACAGAACAGTGGATAAAACGTATACAGTGTTGCATAACAGAAATTGGTGCCAACTTCGAACATTTAATTTAACTTAGGACATAGGTGTTGCATCTTTCTTACTAACAGAAATGTGTACGTATCTCGTTTGGTTTACAGTTAATAAATAAAAAGTTACATAAAAAAGCTGTTTCTTTTAGGAACCTCTTACACAGTCAAAAACCTAACGCCACTGGTACAATACAAATTAGTCAAAAACGAATTTTACATACAAAACACCATATCAGATTTTAGCGATTTTGCCATGCATCAAAATGGCTTTTATTTCTTTAAACGAAAACCGTTCAAATATCAAGAGACAAGATTAACTCCAAAGTAAATCAGTATTACAAACATAATATTGATTTTAAGAAAAAGCAGTGGTGTACTTTTTTTTTTTCTTTAAAACAATTCAATACAAATCCTGTTCGAAAGCCACTGGTAGAAATTTTTTGAAAACTTTTACATCAAAAAATGTAATTTAATGGTCAAAAGAAGTGTACCAAATTTTGTGGAAATATCTGGAGTGGTAGGAAAGTTATGATAAAAACGTTTCGTTCCCGATCGGGAACTTTATCAAATAATTTTAATTTTCACGTATATTACAAGTCAAATTATTTCAAAACCTAAAAATATACAAATACATGCAATTACATTATTATCAAAAATAATTAATTTTGTTTGTACGTAGGTACCTAAACAACCATTCCATACAAATTTTAAAATTTCAATCGTTGAAAATTGTTCAGAATGTAGTAGTGCACCGTGATATTCCTAATTCAATTATCGTTGTTTAATTATGACAGTTGTTGTCAACCATTATTTTCGACATGTATCGTCAATAAATTAGAAATATATATTTAAGAAATAATTGGTTATTAATACAAAGGGTCAGTAATAATCCATCAAACAGAGATCATTNATAATAATAATAATAATAATAATAATAATAATTTATTTAGTCCATTTTGATCAACAAATGATATTGGATAAGTCATGTGTACAAGTTTAGTTGTACACGCCTATGCTAATAGACATATATTATATTCTACAGTCTACACGATTACATTATCACAGAAGCCTTTGTCTAACATTTGCCTATAACTCTGTCAAATATTTTTGCTCCAAGTGTTAGTAGTTGAAAGTTAATACAACTTCTTCGAGGTCATGTTTTTTCCAAAATTCGAAGAATTTTCTACATAACTTGGCAACCCCGCACTAAAATGTTAAACTGTTTATATTGCCGTATACAGAATTTTCTCAGAAATTCATATGTTTAAAAATATACAGGGTGTTCCATTTAAAAAATGTAATGTTTGGCGTGCCCCGTTTGTACTCATCGCCCTGTATGTTTCAAATTAATTTTGTAGTTTAGGTTTCTTGATCCTGTATAACTTTTATATAAACTTTTTTTCTGTATTACAAGTAACAAGGGAGTTATTGTACTTTCTCACACTAATGGCCCACCCAATATAATGCTACATCAAAAGGATCAACGCTGCATCAAGGATTGATCTTATAAATTTAATTTTGCCCAATAAAAAAAAACCTAATGACACAACTTAACTTAACTACACAATAAACACTATAGATATATGACATTATTGTTTTGTCAAATACTGTTTTCGTTCCCAAAACTCTAATTGAATTAAAGGCAAATGTTTAAGTTTTTTATTTTGTTCACTTACCTTCATAGACAATTAAGTTTACATTAAAAAAGAAGATCAATTTTCGAAATATAAAAATGATCATAGCAACAATTTTATTCCTTTTCAACAAAAAAATAAAAATTTTATGGCGTTATGTCCACTTTAATAAGGTACACTGTACATGTAACCGTGAGTTAGTTTCTGCTATTTACACTATAACGTAAATAATTCCTAACACTAACGATGAGTTTTAATATTTACATACCCGTTACATGATGACAATCTCCACCATTCTTACAGGAGCAAATGTTTTGACAATTTTTTCCAAATTTTCCAATAGGACAAGGATGTTCACAAGTAAGTCCTAAGTAACCAGCAGGGCAAATATATTCTCCTGTTATATGATCACAAGTTTTATTACCTAAAAATATATTATCTATATTTACATATTAGATTAATTATACCTATAGATATCTACCCAGTGCTACTTCAGGACATTTTTGCCTACATCCTATACCATAATAACCCTTTTTACATGGAGTGGAACAATCTTCACCCTGCCATCCCCTTGAACAGAAACATTTACCATTTTGTGGATCACAAGAACTATTGTTTTTACAGTTGCATATTTGATCACATTTTGACCCATATCTTCCAGGCTGACAATTTGATTCACATAATACACCTAAAATAAATTAATGATAACAATAAAATAATAATAATAATAACAATAAATGGTAATTATTTTTCCGTAATAATGACAAATAAAAAACAGTTAGCCCATTGAAAAGTTACATTTGGGGTTGCAAAAGTCAGAGCACGCAATTTTATTTTTTGGATGTCAAGAAGGGGTTAGTGTAGTTAAATCCATGTTTGTGGGGTCGCAACCCTTGTGCATCGGCCGCCATCTTGTAAAAAGGGCTGCGAATGGTTTTTATACTACTATTTACTATATCGGGCAAACTATTCGTCGCACAGAAAATTTGTAAATACATTTTTTAAATTAAAATTAAATTCTCTACCCATAACTTTTAGTCATAGAACCAAAATTAATAAAGTTATTAACGAAAATATATACAAATTTGGGAACGAATTTTCTTTTGGTCCTTATAACTTTTTTTCTGGTCATTTTACAAAAAAATCGGTAAAATGAAATTTCTCACAACCCTTGTGTTCAGAATGTAGTAGTGCACCGTGATATTCCTAATTCAATTATCGCTGTTTAATTATGACAGTTGTTGACCATTTTTCAACATGTATCGCCAATAAATTAGAAATATATATTTAAGAAATAATTGGTTATTAATACAAAGGGTCAGTGATAATCCATAAAACAGAGATCATTGGGGCCTCAACATTTGATCCAATCGAGCAGGATTTGTGATTAGCGTGGTTTGGTAAACATTTGGCCCTTACATTGAGACGAATAAGTGTGGTAATATTCGAGCGGCATCGCAGGAAAACGAATTGGAGAAGTTGGACACTAGCAGCGACGTCAGCAGACCTCTGGATATATTGTGGCAGATTATAGGAGAGTAGTAGTAACAGTAATCCATAGCAGTAGTCGTGAAGCCAGGTTGCAGTCGCACGGAGAAGGCCAGTGGAGTACAAATTGAGGGTAACAGGCTGGTTGATTTGTGTTAGTTGAAAAAGTTGGTAAACTATTTAAATTAATACTTTATTATCTGAATTGTTTAGTCTTATCAAAATGACGGAAGATTTAAAAATGTTGGTTAGAAAGAGAAGTTCTATTAAAGCACGCCTTACTCTTTTTAAAAATTATTTGGAAGGTATTGTTCAACAATTATCTACAAGTCAAGCTAATGTTGTTGATATAAATACTTTAATCGAATTGGAATCGCGTTTAGTCAAATTAAATACTGTTTGGTTAGAGTTTAATGAGGTACAGACCTTAATTAAGGTAAGTCATGAGAATTTTGATGAACAATTAAAATAACGCGAATTATTTGAAACTGCATATTACAAAGCGATAACTCAATGTAAACGATTGGTATCTGATGGTAAAAAAGAGGAAGTGGTTAATCATAATGGCAGCAATACGGTAGAACCTAGTGTTGTAAATTCTGTAACTATGCAAACAGCAACAAGGTTACCAAATATCCCAGTACCAAAATTTAAAGGTCAATATGAACATTGGTTAGAATTTCGTGATACGTATGTGTCTCTTATTCATAATAATAAATCTATCGTTGAAATTGAAAATTTTCATTTTTTAAGAGGTGCACTGAAGGGAGATGCAAAAGAGGCAATTCACTCACTGGAATTTTCTGCAGCAAACTATAAAACAGCATGGGATTTGTTGTGTGAGCATTATAATAACACAAGTTACTTAATTAATAATCATATAAACTTATTATTTTCATTACCTACATTAACTCGGGAATCTGCAATAGAATTACGCAAATTATCAGATTCTATGGTTAAACATTTAAGATCTTTAAATACATTAGGTCAAAGTACTGAAACGTGGGATGTCATGATTATTTTTCTGGTAACCAGTAAATTGGATCCGGTTACTTATCGCGAATGGGAAGAAACTAAAGCTAGGGATAAGCTCCCAACTTTAGAAGAATTTAAAGTTTTCCTTAAAAATAGAGCTGAATTGTTAGAGTCATTGGAAGGTAATAAACAAACTAAACATAGAGTCACTTCTAAACTACAGGCTTTTGTAGCAACCAATCAATAATGTAGTTATTGCAAAGGCAATCATTACATAAATAATTGTGCTGATTTTCTTAACCTTAGTGTATATAATAGATTTGAACAAGCAAGACGTCTCAAATTTTGTTTAAACTATTTGAAACCAAACCATATTAGTAAAGTAACTCTGTAGGGTGTAAAAAATGTAAAGCACGACACCACACGTTGTTGCACTATAACAAGAAACCCTTGGTTGCAGAGGGATCCAATGGGCAGTCTCAGGAGGCAAGTGGGATGGAGTTGACAACGCCTATCCCTAGTTCAACTCAAAGTTCTTCTGTGGTAATGGCTTCATCAGAATGTAATCAAATGTGTGAGGTATTGTTATCGACAGCAATTGTTCAGATTCTGGATTCTAAAGGGTATCCTCATGCTTGTCGTATTTTATTAGATTCCGGATCACAGTCTAATTTGATCACTGATGAGTGCTGTAATAAATTAGGAATAAATAAAAGAGATTGTAAAGTATCAATTGTGGGTGTGAGTCAGGTGGTGATCCAATTCAAATGTGATGTAACAATTAAATCACAACATAATGCCCTTGAGAAATCAATCTCATGTTTAGTTGTTCCGAGAATTAGTGAGAACATTCCAAGTCAATATGTCAACATTTCTAACCTAAGGATTCTTCAACATTTGAAACTAGCAGATCCTACTTTCTATAAGCCTAATTCCATTGATATGTTAATTGGTGCTCCCTTATTCTATGAATTGTTATGCATTGGGCAAGTTCAATTGGGAAAAAACATGCCAATTCTTCAGAAGACCCGGTGTGGATGGGTTGTTTCTGGTAAAATGTGTGTTAATCAAGATTCTAGGCTACGGTGTAATTTAAATGTGAATATTCAAGAACAGTTGGCACAATTCTGGGAATTGGAGGAACCCTCTTCTGGTGATCCAATTCTTTCAGGAGATGACAGACTCTGTGAAGAAATTTTCAAAAGTTCAACTACACGTAATAGTTCTGGTAGGTTTTCAGTAAAAATTCCATTTAAAGACTCTATTGAAAGATTAAGAGATTCAAAACAGTATGCATTGTCTAGATTCTTTGCACTGGAAAGGAAGTTAGAAAAAAATCCTACTTTAAACGAAATGTATTTGGCATTTATGAAAGAGTATGAAGTTATGGGACATATGTCAAAGTTAGATGATGATTCCTCAAATGATACGGTTTCGTATTACTTTCCTCATCATGGGGTGTTGAATGAGAATAGTTCCACCACAAAACTGCGAGTTGTTTTTAATGGGTCAGCTCCAACTGACACAGGGATTTCATTAAATGACCTTCAATATGTAGGTCCCAAAATTCAGGAGGATCTATTGTCTATTGTGTTAAGATTTCGGCAGTACAATATCATAGTATGTGCTGACATTGCAAAAATGTATCGAGTGGTCGAAGTTCATCCATCTCAACGATCCCTTCAAAAAATCTTGTGGAGACCAAATTCAAATGAGGAATTGCATACGTTTACACTGAATACTGTAACATATGGAACTGCTTCTGCCCCATTTTTAGCAGTTAGGTGCTTAAAACAGCTATGTTATGACAATCTGGATAAGTTTCCAAAGGCCTCAAATATTATCCTTCGTGATTTCTATGTTGATGATCTACTGACCGGTGGTCAATCAATAGAAGAAGTGGTGAATGTTTGTCAGAAAGTAGATGAGATATTACGTTCTGGTTGCTTTGAGCTCCGTAAATGGGTTTCAAATAAACCTGATGTTGTTGAAAAGATTTCTGGAATAAGCAATCAGTCAGTAAATGTGCAATTTGGAGGAAAGGATGAAATAAGAACATTGGGTTTGTATTGGTCGTCTAGTAAAGATGTCTTAATGTACAAGATACAAGTCTCGTCTACATTTCGTATAACAAAACGTTTGGTACTATCAGATATATCTCGGATATTTGATCCAGTGGGTTTGTTATTATATCCGCAAAAATAATCCTTCAACGATTATGGGCTGAAAAATTGTCATGGGATGATTCACTGCCAGCTGATATTGAAAGGAAATGGCGACGGTGTAGAACAGAACTTCAGGTGTTGAGTGATTTAAAGGTTCCAAGGCAAGTAATTTGTGCGGAAGCAGTCAGGTTAGAACTCCATGGGTTCTCTGATGCCTCAAATGATGCGTATGGATCCTGTTTATATGTACGTAACATTAGAAACGATGGACAAATTAAAACTTTTCTGTTAATGGCCAAATCCAAAGTAGCACCAATGAAAACATTGACAGCTCCTCGACTTGACCTTTGTGGTGTATTGGTTCTGGCACTACTTGTACAAAAGGTTAAAACATCTACAACTTTCAAATTTAATGAAGTATATTTGTGGTGTGATTCTTCGATTGATTTGAGTTGGATAGTTACTTCTTCGAACTTGTTGCAAACGTTCATTAGCAATCGTATATCACAAATTCAGTCTCTCACTGATTTAAATCAATGGCGTCATGTTCGATCTGAGAATAACCCAGCTGATATTCTGTCCCGAGTGTTAAGTTCTGAAGATTTGATTAATTGTAAAATGTGGTGGCATGGGCCTGATTGGCTCTCAATAGATGAAAGCTTGTGGCCAAAATCTGGTTTTAGGGTTGTGCAAGATTTACCTGAGTTAAAAAAATCTGAAATGTCATTTCATACGAGCACTTACATTCCAGATATTGATTTTAGTAGGTTTTCAAATCTTTCTAGGTTGAAGCGTACTGTTGCATATGTTCTTCGATTTATGACAAATTGTAAGGCAAAATTACATCGTCAGGGTGGTCATTTAACTGTAATTGAGTTAAATATGGCAATGAAGGTATTGATTAAAATATCTCAAAAACAATGTTTTCCACAAGAAATAAAAGACTTGCAAAATAACAAATGTTTAAAATCTACAGGATGTTTGATTGGATTGGCTCCCTTTTTGGATAGTGAAGGTATAATTAGAGTTGGTGGTAGAATCCAGTTGTCTGAATTTAAAT